AATTTATTCCTGTGAGTAAACTTTATACCCTACAAATAAATATTTAAAAAAGTATATCCCATAAATAAATATTCCTTTCTCAGTACATACATAACATATTTGCTCATACATAATAATTTTATCATATTAATACTATTTATTATTTTATCATGCTAATACTTATTACATTTTTTTTCAAATATACACATTTTTTTTTAATTTTTAATATTTTTAAAATATACATTTTCTTAAAATCTTAATTTTTCATGAAAATAGTTGTTTATTCTACTTAAATGAAAAGATTTAAATCTCTAAATAAATATGTTATTAGTGTATACCAAATATTTCTCACTTTTTAGACATCTTTCTCTCACTGTATAATCAAATTTTTTTCTGATGGATCTTTCTGTTATTTATGAGCGGTTTTATATAATATTTTTGTTTTATTTTCACGTGCGAAATGTGATATTGTGACACATTTGAGGAATTTTGTTCTGCAAACACGACCACATTGGGCAGATATTATCCGACGTTCGCGAGCCTCGCGGTTACGCGCCAAGACTCATCACTTCTAAATATCCACGTGATATAAAGGAAGCATCTATTCGCTTGGAAGCATATTGAAATGGAGATTCATTTGAAGTCGGAAGTACCAGTAAACATATACGAGAGACGAACGACGGCGCAGCGGTATTAATGCGGCTTACCCGAAGTAGTTTCCGTCAAAGGGAATTAATAGTGAATACCGATGCCGACGGAAACTCTAAGCTACCGAATAGTCATTCGGCTATTTCGGTTATATAGCGACTCGATCGGACATACTTCGACCGTTATTGGCGCGAGAATAGCGCAAGGCACGTTATTCTCGCGCTTATTGAAGCACGACCCTGTCAAAAGTTCGCGTTTAAGTATGTAAGTTCGCGTGTAAGCATTATTGACACTAGCTTTATTTTATTTCGCATCGCAGCTATTTTGAGCATTCTGGAATGGCGGCATTAGCTCGTGTGTGGTTGGGGATTTACCGCAATTGAAGTCCACTCGCGCGTTTAAATTGCCGTGTGTTGTTATTACAATTTAAATTTTGTCAATTTGGGCAATGCGTACAGTAAAATATTTCCTATTAAATCTAACACACTTCGCATGTCCCAATTTACTTACTCTAAAGTTTGTGTCAATTTAATATGAGGCAAATACGTCGATAACACAAATAATACGTTGAAAATAAACACAAAAACGTTGCGCACTATCGAGTTACTTTAATATTTCGAAACGACGAATACGAACTCGAAGCAAAAATCAGTGTAAGAAAGTGAAAATAAGACAATATGTTAAATCAATACATGGATATGTTGAAAATTTAACACGAAAACTTTTGCGCAGATTGATTTCAACGCAAATGCAAAATCTGATATATCCAAAATAACGAATCCGAGGCGTATAACAAACCGTTGCGAGCTTTTTTCTCTCTCGCGAAGGGATGATTGTTTAATTTCTATAATGGATGACCGATCCGAGAATAAAGTTAGTGTTATTTGTTGAAAAAAGTATATTGAGAAAATATCTAAAAATTAAAAAATATTTCTTAGGCGGGTATTAAAATATTAACATATTAAATCAAGATTCTTTTCATTTAAAGCGAGTATTGTTTATTAATATTGTTTAAGTAAAAAATACTCGGTTTATGAAGAGACTTGTGATTCAATATGTTAATAACGGCTAAAGAATATTTGTTAATTTTAAAATACTTTTTTCTCAGAATATTACTGACTCAAGATATTACTGACTTTATTGCTTCTTACAAAAAAGTTATAAAGATACCGAGGTCAATAACTTGATTTTAGAGATTTAAGTCAATGCTGTGTTGCTTCATGTCTAGGGCGGGAAAAGAAATGGACACAATCATAGAGTGCATGCAAAGAACCGCTTTATTTATATTGAGTAGGCCGTGCGTTGTGAGAGGCGAGGGGACTCACAATAATCAAGCACCCCGATTTGTGAGAGGCGAGGGGACTCACAATAATCAAGCACTCTGACTTTTGAGAAGCAATCAAGTCAATATAACTTTCCTTTTTATCCTTATAACTTTTTACTTAAAAAAATGTATAGAAAGTACAAATAATGATGTAGGAATGCACCGTATCCGTTGAAAATAAGGTATTGCAGTATTAGCCTATTTTGAAAAATGACGCCTCGTAGAGGTCAAATGGTTCATTGCAGGGGACCTGTGGAGACTTTTTATCAGGACGACAAGATCTACAACATATCAAATCTTCAGCCAATTCGAACCGAAATTCAATTTCCATAAGGTTTGTGCGGGGTCCTTTAGCTTCGGTAGTATCGACATTAGCTGTCCCTATTTCAATGACAACATCTTATCTGCCACAGCTATTTTTTAGTTCTGGAAGCTAGTTTTTTTTGCGTGTGTGTTCCTCACACAATCACGACCGACTGTACAACGGGAGCGAAAGAGCGATGTAAGTGCCGCGCGAACCATTCGACTCGCGCGTCGACAGTTTTCCCGCGGGATATCGCGCTCTGCTAGATGGAGGCCAGCAAAATCCCGTCGTGGGTACACGTGCGCCAGCACACTGCACGCATTAATAAATAGCGGCCCAGTTTTCAGGCGGAAACGGTAAAACGCGTATTAATTAACGCAAACTGATCAGAATTGGTTAACATTCATCGATCGGACAACGCGACGCGTTGATGGTCGCGCGTTGTATGCGAAAAGCGGGACCGCCATATTAAATTTCGGCACGTGCGTCGGCTGCTCATTACGCAATTGCGTATTTAATATCCTATTTAGAGTCGCGTGCGAAATTCTTCATTTATCTCCTCGTTACCTAGTGTTCTACTTTCTACCAGATAATCGTCTCTACATAAGATCAAACGTATCGTCGTGCTTTTGTGCATGTGCACCAACTAATAATAAATAATATAAGATAAATAGGCCAATGAGAGATAGCCAAAAGAGATTAGCTTTCAATCCAAGTCTTTCAAAATTTGTTTACGAGAGATAGCAAGGGAGATCTGCCTCTTCTAAGAGAATTTTGGAAGACTCTCATTAAAGTTACTTTCCGCAATTTCTAACTTGCGTTTGGTTCTTGTTGGCTCATTTATCTTATAACTGCATATCAAAGAGCCTTAATTAATTATTGGATTCTAATAAAAAATATGTGCACTTTAATTTCGGCCTTATACTCGATGAAGATCGAATTCCCTTAAGATTCCCATGAGCTTCGTTTCCGGCGAGCAGAGTTTCTACCCTGACAAAATTACAAAATGTAAATGTGGAGGATTATGCAACGCTAGGTCCTTGGACAAGCTACTCATTCATAACCATGTACACCAACAATCTGCGTCTAACGAGCTAATTTCTAAGTAAATCTCCGCTCGCGCGCTAATCCAACTATCCGAGGTTTATCGATTTCTCGATACATTGAACACACGACACTTTGAACGCCGTTTTTAGCTACAAAAAACCTGTGTGGACGTGTCACAGACAAAGAGCATGACAATCAAATGTTTCTGCAAAATCCCTCCTACCGTGTGAAAACATTCAACCTGTCTGAAGCACAACATTCGGTAATCTGAGGAAAAATAGAAAGGAAGGGAGAGACAGAGAGAAAGAGAAAAAAAAAAGAAAGAGAGAGAGAGAGAAGTGTAACATAAAATAAAAAGAAATTAGAAGAAAAGAAGATATGAGCGACAGTTACTCACAGCAATATCAAAACGGTACACGGAGAAGAAAGATGGATTTAATCAACGTGACAATGACACAATTAAATACGTTTTGGGTGAAGAAAACAGAATTTGTCTGGCTCGCTACCACAGTTTATTTGGAGAATTTTTTCCACATTACATTTCATGTAATTTCATCATTTCATTTGTTTTCATGTAATTGTGTAAAACTTGTTGGCTTGTTTATATAAGAAAAATATCATTGCCATATACATGTGAGTTTGGTAGCGAATATGTTAAGTAAAATCGAAAATTTTGTGTAAAGACGAACTTGAAGTGAGAGATGTCACACACATGTGTGACGCTGAGAGCAAACGGATTAAGAACCAAATTCGTTTCTGAACTACAAAGCTCGCGAATGTCAGATAGTATCTGCCAAACCGTATTTGCAAAGTGAAATTTCGTAAATTTCGTGTACAAATTTAGTAAACATGTACACGGGGAAAATTTTATAGTAAAAATTACTATAGAATAGATCAAAACTTCTTCATAACTGGCTATTCTTTTATTCCATATGTGTTATTTATATTTCAGGAACAGAAACAAAACAGGAACAGAAAAATGTACTAGGATTTTAGCAAAATTTGCAGTTTCTCGAAATGTACTTCAGCAAGATAGATCTTACTGTGACAGTCTATTCCTACTGTTTCTACGTTCGTACAATTTTCTTATGTTCGCACATTACTACATTTCCAAAATTCAAAAGAAACTATAATATTTTCTCCGTTTGTAACATATATTGCATTTTATACTTTAACATAAAATAAAAATAGAATTCGGTTTTAATGAACCAGAAATTCCGTTTCCATGAACTGAAACTTGCGTTTAGTTGTGTCATCATGTTATTTCAATCAATCTCTTTCTCTTTGCGTACAAAGTAAACACATTGAGAAAAAATTTATTTGTGGAAAATATAAAGTTTACTCAGCAAAATAAACTTTATTCTTAAGAAATAAACTTTATATCCTTATATTTATGTTTGCAAATTTATGTTTGCAATTTTCAAGTATTTTTTCTCAATGCAGGGCAAAGAGAAAAGTGTTCAGACATACTATTATTGTATATGACATTATATTAGTCTATATAATAGAATTGGTAAAGCTATTGTTAAACAAAGTCCAGAGAGATCTGCGGAACAGAAAGAGAGAGAGAGAAAGGACGAGAGAGGATATGTAGATACGACAACTGCTACAACTGTCACAACTGTTCAGCACTTTGCTTACTCATGTCTTTTTACTACTGACCTACCCGCTGTATGTGTGATATATATTCTCTTTCAGCCGATCGGCGGGTAATACGTGTATTCGACCGGCATCGTCCTCCTGCGTCGGTCTCTTGTCGTGGCGATTGCTTGTGCCGGCATTACAGACGGCGCTTTACGAATTCCTCTACGCCTCAATGCGCCTCTCGTTTCTTCGAGTGGTCGACCGAACGCACAACAAGACCGCTCTCATGACCGAACTATTCTCAAGTTCGAACACCAATCGAAAGTATAATCAGTGTATTCTTCACTGAAATGTTACACTTAAAACTGGTAGTTTAGTTATAGGACTGCAATCAGTAAAATCACGCTGAAAGCATCAGTTTAGGGGTTGTAAAAATAAAGCTTGGCAGGAGTAAAGATGAGCTAAAATTTGGTGAAAAGGTAAATTAACAGAAGTATAAATTTGTTATATTTATCGTATGTCTATTAAATCTGATTTTTGCACAAATGTATTCACAATGTGCTCTTTGCGTTCTGTTTCTTGTCTTCTATCTTTTTATGGCTTACAGCTTAATCTACAATGAGTTCTTTGCTTCTTTCTCTTTATCTCTTTCTGACTCAAACTCTAAGCTTTAAGCTTAATCTACAATATGCTCTTTGCGTTCTGTTTCTTGTCTTCTATCTTTTTATGGCTTACAGCTTAATCTACAATGAGTTCTTTGCTTCTTTCTCTTTATCTCTTTCTGACTCAAACCTTAAGCTTTAAGCCAGAAAACAAGAAACAGAACGCAAAGAGCATATTGTAGATTAAGCTTAAAGCTTAGAGTTTGAGTCAGAAAGAGATAAAGAGAAAGAAGCAAAGAACATATTATAAATCAAGCTTAAACAATATCTATTAAAAAATTAGATTTCATGAATATTAACATCACTGCGTTCATCTTAATTCTGTTCTGCAAAAGAATCATGCTTTAACGATAACCAACCTGATCCCAACACAAGTAATTTAATATCAGTTTTAATATATTTTTTTATTTATTATAATAATTGGTTCACACACAAGTGAATTTTGAAAAAAAAAAAAAATATATTTCCTCAATTGTTACAACACATCAAATTTAATCTTTCCACTGAAAAATTTAAGCTTGTAAAATAAATAAATAAAAAATGATTTAAAAATTTGCGGGATTTGTGCAAACCGGTACTTATAATACTAATGAATAAAAAATATATCAATGTTGATTTAAGCTCATGTTGAGGTTGGTTGAAGTTTGATTCTCTTGCAGAATAAAATTGAACATAGTGATGTTAATATTCGTTATAAAATCTAATTTTTTTTATATCAAGATATTATAAATAGACATACGTAACAAAAAACTCATACTCCTACTTTAATTGACAACTCCCTAAATTTTACACAATTTTTATTCCTGTCAGGGTTTTGTAACTCTCTTAATAGTAAAAATTGTTATGATGTACTTTGCGAACACAGACAGTGTCATTGCACGCAAGGCGCACAGAAGCCATTAAAATTTCATCGTTACTAACGTAGAAAGTTGGATTTGGTATAACGTATAACGAATTTGCGTATTACAGATTTTGCGGTGAAATCTTACTTCCACTGGTCGAAATTATAGTGAAAGGTAAGACGGAGCAGTAAAGTGGGAGTGTTCTCACTGATAATCAGTGAATACTCACTGATTATCAGTGAAACAGTTCCTTTAAGCCTGATCTACAACGTGTTCTGTGCTTCCAGTTTGTTTCTGCCTTAAGACCTGTTCTACAATACGTATGTCGCTGTCGTATGTCGGAGTGCAGCCGATGGGCCAATCAGAGGATTTGTCTTTCGAGAAGAGTTCTTTTCACTGAACCATCAACTGTGTTCCGACGTCCGACAGCGACATATTGTAACGACGTATTGTAGATAACCGACCTAAACCTTAAAGTCAAAAAAATGTAGAGAACACGAAACAGGAAGCAAAGAACACATTGTAGATCAGGCTTTACTGGTTCAATCAGAGACGTTTTTATTGATCCACTTTAACAGAGCACCAAAGAGAGAGAGAGGGAGGGCCAGGGAGAGTTGAAGAGAGAGAGAGAGAGAGAGAGAGAGAGTGAGAGAGAGAGAGAGAGAGAGAGAGAGAGAGTGCCCTCCTGTCTGTCTGCTCAATCGTGGATCTCTCGGCGATCGTGTTCGCGACTTATCACGCCGATCTACGGCTCCCTCTCTTCGTTCTCGCGATCGTAGACACCGTCGCCTCGTCCTCTTGGGCTGTTCCGTGCGTGTCGAAGAGGTTCGAGCTAGCCTTTCCTTTCCTTTCTCTTGTGTCCCTCTTTCTTTCGACGTCCGGTGGAGTCAAGAAAGAAGCAGAGAGAGAAAGAGAGGGAGAAAGAGAAAGGAGCACGAGGGTGGATGAGTGGGAGGTAGAGAACAGAAGTGCCTTGCGTCAACCCTTTCGCAGGGCGTGGTGGAAGGAAAGGAGTCGCGCACGAACACCTCCAAATGTCTCCTTTCTTTTACAATAGGCTTTGTTCGCGCTTTGTCGGCGTCCTGAATCGACCTCAAACAGAAATCACTTTATATGTTACCGGCTGTTATCGGCTAATTGTCGGCCCCGCATTTGCATCGTATACGGGAGAGCTCCGGTTCCGGATAGGGTAAACACAAGTTCGACGGCCATGGGCGGAAAAGGCGGCCATATGGTTGTAATTTCTCCAATAATTGCCGAATACGTACATACGTTTTAGCACCTGAGTATACGCATACACATAAACTACGGGAAGTATCGATTATCTTTGAGAATGACTATAGAAGGGTACTATTTCAGTAATCACTGGGCAAATTGCAGCTTATAGTCATTTTTTCTTTATATATGTGTCCATTATACTTGAATATACCTCATGGGACGATTACCTACTGCGGGTTGGCCGAAGAAAATTGTCGCGATTAAATGTAGAGGAATTAACACGCCGAGACGCGCGAATCGCGGCCGGCAGTCGTCGATACTAACGCCGGCGGAGAATTCCTGTTGGCAAATATGCGAAAAGCGGATTATATGCTTATCTGGTTTAAATCGCGAGCCGGGAGCGCCGGTAACACGCGTCTCGCGAAAGATCGCGCCGTCCGCGACTTTCTACGATCTCGGCAGCAATTTCCCCTCACGTATTTTCCTTGATCTCTCGCGTTCTCGCCAGCTCGGCAATCGGGGAAGCCGTGGCCTTTGAAGCGAGCAACAGGGTCGATCGTTACGATCTAATTGCTCGGTACGGAGGAATCGATTCTCAAAGGGAACTCCGAGACGTAGCTAGACGAGAATAGGAAGAGAAGGCGGAGGAGAGGGAGGAGGAGGGTAGAGGGCGTGACAGGGAGAGAACGAAAGAGAGAGAGAGAGAGAGAGAGAATAATCTGCACGTAGTCCATCAGACACGACGCGTTGCATTCTTATTTTTCTCCGAGCCTAAATATTTCTCCTCCGCGGAATCCGATCAAAGCGACAAAGGACAATAGCTCAACGACGCACCGTTGCGTGAGAAAGTTAATAATAACGTATAGCCGGCGAGAGAAAGAGGAGAGAGAAAGAAAGAGAACGTGTATGTGCGCGCGCACGAAAATGTGTGTGCAAGAGAGAGAGAGAGAGAGAGAGAGAGAGAGGGGGGGGGAGAGGGAGGGGCAGCACACTGGCGGCTATTATATTCCACGATGTGGCAAGGAACGTACAGAGCATTAATCCGCTTTGAAAGTCGTTAGAGAGTTAAGGTCCTTCGAGCATTAACTCAGAAATAGCGTTTACAAAAGTCGGACGCGCCACCGACGCCGGAAACTGACTCGATCCGTGCAGTTCCTAGTGGGTGAAATAGTGGACAAACTCGTTATCGAGGGAGCCAATTAAACATACGCTCGCGCGCGTGCGCGTGCACGTATGTGTGAGCGCATAAATGTTTGCGCGAGTGTGCACACACAGCGCACAATGCACTACGTGTACGCGCTGTTCGACCAGATCTAACGGTCTATAATCTAGGTCACTCCGAGATGATTCTCATCGTCGCTTAATGTACACTGCGTCCCAGACCTGACGATCCTCCTCTCTGCAGCTGTAGATTCCTTATCTAATTTGACGCCGGGATTTTTCCGAGAGCGCGTTGGCAGAGGCCGACAGACGGAGTTCGACAGTCGCACCGACCTGGCGATACATCGCAGTCTCTCCCCCCCCCCCCCCCCCCCCCCCCCCTCTCTCTCTCTCTCTCTC